CTCCTCGTGCTTGGTTTGCAAAGTTCAGTGCTACTACTCATAATTTTGATTTCATCTCAAGCTCTTATGACTCTGCCTTATTTATTCGGACGACTGCTCAGGGCACCACTCTTCTTCTTCTTTATATGGATGATATGATTATTACTGGTGATGATGAGGCTGGTATTCTTAGCCTCAAACAATTTCTTAGCCACCATTTTGAAATGAAGGATCTTGGTTCTCTCAATTATTTCTTGGGTCTTAAAATCTTTCATGACTCTACTAGTTATTTTGTCTTTCAGGCCAAATATGCTTCCGATCTTCTTACTTGCATTGCACTTACAGATTGCAAGACTACTTCTATTCCGATTGATCCTTAGGCTTTCCTTACTCCACTAGATGACACTCTTCTCTCTGATGTTACCCTTTATCGGCAATTGGTTGGTAGCCTTATTTATTTTACAATTACTCGTCATGATATTGCATATTCTGTCCACATTGTCAGTTAGTATATGACGGCTCCTTGCACGCCATATTACGATGCTCTACTTCGTATTCTTCGCTATCTTAAAGGCACTTTGTTTCATTGTCTTCACTATTCCATTATCTCCTCGCTTAAGCTTCATGCTTATTCTGATGTTGATTAGGTTGAGAATCCCACTGATTGTCGTTCCACTACTGGATTTTGCTTCTTCCTAGGGGATTCTCTTATTTCTTGGCGCAACAAGAAATATACTCTCACTGCTCGTTCTAGTATTGAGGCTGAATATCGTGCTCTCGCCAATATTACTCAAGAACTTTTGTGGCTCCATTGGCTTCTTGCCGACATAGGCCTCTCTTCTACTGAAGCTATTTCTCTCTATTGTGATAATCACAGTGCCATTCAAATTGCGCATAATAACGTCTTCCATGATCGTACTAAACATATTGAGATCGATTGTCATTTTATTCGTTAGTATGTTATTTGTGGAACGGTTCATCTCTATTCCATTACTTCTGCTGATCAACTTGCTGATATCTTCACCAAGGCTCATCCTCCCGGACGTTTCACTGATTTAGTTTCCAAATTCATGATGGTTGATGTCTTTCCACCTTGAGTTTGCGGGGGACTGTTAGTATGCATATATAGTAATATATATAGGTTGATTGATTAATTGATGCACCTTCCATAGCTTCGATGATTTGATTGACCGTGATTGATTCATTCCTTATTTAACATATGTATTCTCTCCTATATAAAGGAGCTCATTGCACACACTTGAACATATATAAAACACATATTCACTCTTTCTTTATGTCTCTCTATATTGTGATCTAAAATCCGACACAATCACCCGGGCAATGAACTATAATATAAGGGTATGATTTGCAACAATTTTTCTTAGCCACTCATATTAATTAATTCAAACTTGATTGCTTGCTTAGACATGATTCTCTGAATCATATTCATCATGACCATTGAATGACATGTTAAAAGCAGCGACATCAATTCTATTTTGAATTAATTCAAACTTGCTTGCTTGAATTAATTCAAAGTAGCGACATTAATTCAAACTTGCTTGCTTAGACACAATTCTCTGAATTATATTCATCATGACCATATTCATCAATTCTCTGAATCAAAGGTCTTGGACAAGGTGACCCTCTATCCTCCTTCCTCTTTAACATTGTGGCTGAGGGCCTAAATATCCTACTGGTAAAGAGCAAATCAGATGGGGTTGATCAAAGGGGCAACAGTTGGAGCAAGTGCATTTAGGATCACTCACCTGCAATTTGCAAATGACACAATTCTATTTTGTGAAGCTGATAGGGGGGAGGTTATTAACATAAAGAGGATCTTGAGATGTTTTGAAGTGTTGTCAAGCCTAAAAATTAACTACCACAAGAGTGTGGTGTGTGGAGTTGGGCTAATAGATGAAGTATCCAAGGATTTTGCTGATAAGCTCAATTGTCTACATCAAAGGTTGCCCCTGAAGTACTTAGGTCTTCCTCTGGGAGCAAGTCCAAGGTCAAAAAGGACCTGGCAGCCAATGTTAGCTAAATGCAAACAAAGACTTGCTTCTTGGAAGAGAAGATTCCTCTCTTTTGCTGGTAGGGTGAATTTGATTAAATCTGTGTTGTCTAGCTTACCCATTTATTATCTATCTTTGTTCGAAATGCCAGCAGGGGTTGCTAAGGAATTTGTGTCAATTCAATCTAATTTTCTTTGGGGAGGGGATGGCTCTAGAAGGAAAATACATTTGGTCAAATGGAAGGTCATCTTAAAAAGCAAACAGCAAGGGGGTTTAGGGGTAAAAAGGATTAGACTTATGAATTGCTGATAAGCTCAATTGTCTACATCAAAGGTTGCCCCTGAAGTACTTAGGTCTTCCTCTGGGAGCAAGTCCAAGGTCAAAAAGGACCTGGCAGCCAATGTTAGCTAAATGCAAACAAAGACTTGCTTCTTGGAAGAGAAGATTCCTCTCTTTTGCTGGTAGGGTGAATTTGATTAAATCTGTGTTGTCTAGCTTACCCATTTATTATCTATCTTTGTTCGAAATGCCAGCAGGGGTTGCTAAGGAATTTGTGTCAATTCAATCTAATTTTCTTTGGGGAGGGGATGGCTCTAGAAGGAAAATACATTTGGTCAAATGGAAGGTCATCTAAAAAAGAAAACAGCAAGGGGGTTTAGGGGTAAAAAGGATTAGACTTATGAATGATTGTCTCTTGTTAAAATGGTGGTGGAGGTTTGGGGCTGAACCTAATGCTCTATGGAAACAGGTGATCCACAACAAATACAATCAGGTGGGTGTTGGGTGGTGTCCAGAACCTGTTGATAACACTAGGAACTCATGTATCTGGGTTGGCATTTTGGGTGTTGCTCTAACCAGACCTGAGTTGGTGGAATTCTTTAAAGAAAACTCTGCTCCAGTGCTTGGGGATGGGAAAAACACTCTGTTCTAGAGAGGTACATGGTGTAATAATGTATGCTTGATGGAAGCTTTCCCTAGGCTCTATTCCTTGTCTTTGGATAAGTTTGAATCTGTAAATGTGATACATCTGAGAAGGAATAGCGAGGTGGAGTGGAACCTTAATTTCAGAAGATCACTCTTTCAGTGGGAGGTGGAGGATTTGAATAGATTGAAACGGCTGCTGATGAATGCTCCAGATCTTAGGGAAGATAGGGCTGATTCTTTGCATTAGAATGTAGATCCATCAGGAAACTTCACTGTTTCCTCTGCTTATAAGTGGTGTGATAATTCCTTACATACAATGAGTGAGGTAACTGACCTTATATGGAACAATGTATCTTCACCTAGAGCTCAATTCTTTGGTTGGTTGGCATGGAAATGGAGGATAAAGACTTCTAGTTTTTTGCAGCGAATTAAAGTGCTCTCTGTTGAGGCTAATGTGAATTACATTTTCTGCAATGCGGGAGTGGACAATGTCAATCATGTGCTACTACATTGCCCTTTTGCTTGGAAGGTTTGGTCACATATGCTAAATTGGTGGGGGTTGCTGTGGGCTCAACCTGGTACTGTGCATTGTTTATTAGAATGGTGGGCTAGTACAAGGATGAAAAAACAAGAGAGGGTGGTCTGGAAGGCCATACCTCTGGCTGTGCTTTGGTCCATTTGGAAATTGAGAAATGATTGCATTTTTAATGGCATTCATCCAAACTTTGAGGAGCTGTGTGAGGTCATCAAAGTGCGAGCTGCGATGTGGAGCAAAGCTGCTGGCTCTTCTTTCTCAGGGTTTTTAGTAACTGATATTGTGAACCACCTGCAACAGGTAAGGTTTTGCAGTAGGGGTATTGGCTGAGTAAGCCTGTTCTGCAGTAGGGTTAGTATGAACCACCTGCTATTTTTTGTTTTGTTTGGTCAGTCTGTTTAATCCCAGATTCTGCTGTATATTGCTTTGTTTTGGCTTTGGTTTCTTTGGAGTGTGGTTGCATTGATGTCAGGTCTGCTAGTTTTGCATTAGTGTGAGGTCTGGGATTTGTATGCATAGGAATCTGTAGCAATTTGAGGGTGTTCTAAGCAGGCAGGGTTGCTGGACTGGTGGTCTGATGCTGGTGCATGGTACTGGTCTGCTAGACTACTGGTGAGTAAGTCTGTTCTGCAGTAGGGATAGTGTGAATCACCTGTTATTTTTTGTTTTTGTGTATATTGCTCTGTTTTGGCTTTGTTTTCTCTGGAGTGTGGTTGCATGGTGTATGGTCTGCTTGTTGTCTGTTGGAATCTGAGGGTGTTCTAAGCAGGCAGGGCTGCTGGACTGTTGGTGCATATTTGGTGGTTGCTGTGTTGGTGCATCAGTTCATCATCCAATTCCTTGTTCTTCTTGGCAACATGATTGTCTTTCTACTCTAAGGCATTAGTTTTGGTTTGGGAATTCCTTGTTGGTGCATCAGTTCATTAGTTTTGGCTTGGGAGGTATTCTACCAACACAGGAATTTGTAGGGGAGCTTTGTTGGTGATTTTTGGTATTTTGGTTTTTGTGTATCTTGTGATTGTTCTCTCTTCAACCTTGTGGTGTGCTAGCAAATGATTGGGCTTTCCTCGTGGTGCCAACCTAGTTGGGATCGTGTGGTTTGCTTTGATGCCTTTTGCACTTCTTCTTCCTTTTTCTTGATGTAATTCTTATTTGACTATTTTCATCAATAAAGGTTGCTTTGCTGTTAAAAAAAAAAAAGTAACGACATCAAACTACCACTTTATGACATAGTAAATTTGGCCCATTATTGACCGCTAGAATAAGGATCCATCGAGTCGGTCTCTTAATTTTTTTAAAATTTGTTACTTTTATTTTCCATCGTATTTTTTACTCTAATAAAAGAGAACCATGTATAAAAAAGTTATAAGTGCCTTGACCTGAGCAAATCCAAAAAAGCAAGACATTGACAAAGGGTTGCCTAAATCTGAACCTACACATTGACTAGGTTTTTTCTCTTATCCAACAAGAAACAAAAAAGTATTAGAAAGTTATCAAAATAATAAATTTAAGAGTCAAGACAAAGTCAAGCTCTATTTCTGTTCCTTCTTTCCCCTTACATCTTTAAAAGCTTCTGATTTGCTTCTATTAGGTTAAAAATAAAAAAAATTAGATTGGAAGCAAAGCCAAGTGTCTAGCAATTGTAGCGAGCGTGTGAGGCCATGGGAAGATCACCTTGTTGTGACAAAACAAAAGTTAAGAGAGGGCCTTGGTCTCCTGAGGAGGATATCACACTCAAGAACTATGTCGAGAGATTTGGCACTGGTGGCAATTGGATTGCTTTGCCACACAAAGCAGGTCTCTCTCTCTCCCTCTCTCTCTCTCTCTCTTAATTATTGTTTTTCTAATGTTATTACTGTGAAGTTTGTGAAGCTTTGTTAATGTAAGCCCTAACATAAATACTGTTGTTGTCTTCATAACAGCTGTATTTTACTCTTATCTTCTTTTAGTATATTAAAACTGGTGTGAGCCATGAATATAAAATTAAGTTAACCTTTATGTTGTGCTTTCTTCTTTGTGATTATATCTTCTTGCTATTGCTTGTGTCTGGGGTTTATTCTGCAACATCTCCCTCTTGAAATGGACATTTCACCAATCTTAGTCATGTTTTTTTTTTTTTTTTCTAACACAACTTTGTGATCATCATTTTCTTCTAAAGATGAAGATTTGTTATACCCATTTCCAAACCTTGAATTTGTTCAAATTCATTACTAAAGAGCATACTATCCCTTTGAGGGAAATTATTTCTGATATCCACTTGGTTTTCTCAGTTCCAAGAGATCATGTTGTGTGTATTTTTTATCCATAATATTTCAAAGAAAGCACCTTCAGAACCCATTTCTTCTTTTATAACTTCCATTGTTATGGTAGTCAAATTTATTTATTTATTTATTTATTTTCAATTTTTAGGCCATGCTTGATATCTAGTTCAACTGATTGAGACAAATTATTAGTATGGTAATATTAGTTTGAATATGTAAGATTAATTGCGTTTATTTTATGAGGGCCCTACCATATTATTAATCCAATTCCATGACCAATAGAGATAAACAAGCATAGTTTTAAGATTGTTATGTTTCCGCAACTTATTGACCATATGTGCCTCTTCTTTAAATACTATTTACATTTTATGATACAAAAATAACTAATAAGTTAAAAAAATTAATTATCAAAAATTTAAAACTAAAATATTTTTAACTTTTATTTTTTTAATCACTGACATTTAACACCAAACAATTATGCAATTTTGTGTTTATATTACATATGATATTCGTATTCCTAACAATTTGTATGTTGTTGATGGTTTTTAATTAGCAGGACTCAAGCGCTGTGGTAAAAGTTGTCGTCTGAGGTGGCTTAACTATCTTCGGCCAGACATCAAGCGAGGAGGCTTTACTGTTGAGGAAGATGACATTATTTTGACTTTATATAATAATATAGGAAGCAGGCAAGTTTAATTCGCTGTTTTCTCTCACCACATAAGTGGATATTTATGATTAATTTTTGTTTAGCAATAATTATTAAAGAAATAAAGAAGAGAAATAATATGTTGTCATGTACCCATGCTGTGAAGCGGTAAAAATAATCGATAATATATGTAACATGGACAAAGCAATGCTGGAATAGAGGGTCCGATTTTAGAGACTGTGAGGCCACTCTGGTGATTCAAACCGTCTAATTTACAAGGCCCAATGAAACGATCATCAATGCAAAAAATCATATTGATTGGTTATAGATAGCTATATAATTGAAATAAATTTAATTTTAAAAAAAAATGAACAAGTATGAATTTGAGAATGTATCATCTATTAAAAAAAAATATGATTTAATAAAGTGACTACTGATCGTTGATTAATTTAATTTTTGCATGGATAATCTATTTCACGAGTTCTACAAAATGAATGATTTAAACCATTGAGATGATTTTAAGGTGGTTCACAATCCTCTTAATTGGACCCTCTACTATAATTAATGGATTGGAGGAAATCCTCTTCTTACAATATTGTTCATACATACACATTCAACTCGGCCTGTCCTGCTGATCACAAGTCCTATCTCAATACACATTCAATTCGGCCTGTCTTGCTGATCACAAGTCCTATCTCAATGATCTATTATGTTTATTTTGAAAATTTTAAAAAATAAAGTAATATTTAATAATAGTGGATGAATATACTATATAAAAAGATTTTTTGATATTATCACATTTCTTATCATCATCTTATTGGTATAGGTGGTCTGTGATAGCTTCCCATCTCCAAGGAAGAACTGACAATGATGTGAAGAACTACTGGAACACCAAGTTGAAGAAGAAGCTATTGCCTTTGCCTCCAACAGAAAACAACAGCAACAACACTAGCACTATTACCACTAACAATAATGCCTCTTACTTCAGCTCATCAACAGCCTCATCACCATTAGTCACTAATCTTGACACAAACACTTATCATTCTCATGGGAATTCAATATTTTCCAATAATATGATATCTGCAAGTTTTCAACCTGCGATGAATGTAAATTATCAGCAAAAGTTTCTTCCACAAGGGTTGGTTTCAGAAGAACCAGTGGTTCAATCCTCTCTTCCAAGGTTCATAGAAGTTTCAGAGATTGGCTCAAGTGCTGCAGATGGTAGTACCTTTAGAGGAATTTCATTATCTGAAGAAGTTGCAAGCTTTTCGGATATTGAAAACAAGTATGGGTTGTGGTCTGGTAATGGAGGAGGTGAAGATGAAGACAATGATGATCGGTGGTTAATGGATTTATTAGGGTCTAGTTTCTCCTATGATCTTCTAAATAGCTTTGGTTATTAAGAGAAAACCAATGAATTTTATCCAAATTTAGCAAGCTTTCTCTAATCTAGCAATAATGATATGATGATAATGTAGAAATGAGATTGTCTTGCCCATCCAGTTGCTCTTTGTGGGCTTATAGAATTTATTTTGATGATCCGTTTTGTTTGTAATTTAAGTTTATGTGCGTCTATGATTTTTTTAAAAATAGATTAATTTGATAATTGTGACTAATGAAGAGAGTGAATCCATTTAAATTAAACACAGGTACATTGTTACGTATATATATACAGTAGAATTTCTCAATCTAACTACTTAACAACTTGACTAACTAACTGCTTAACAACTTGTCTAATTAATACGGTTTAACATCTAACTAACACAAGTGGTTGAGGCCTTTGTCTAACTTGATTGAGGTGAGTGACAACACACTTGTGCTTCATCCTCAAATGTGACTGTGACTAAGACTTCTCTTGCTCTGTTGCATCATGCCTTGCTTGAGTAGGCTACAACCTTGATTGGGTAGGCTACACTATCAACTCTCCATGTTGCACCCTCAAGTTGAGAGGAGGAGCAACGACTAGAAGCTTGGACTAAAGGTAGAGAAACTGAGGTTTGGTGAAGATATCAGCTATCTGCTCAAAAGTGAGGGGGGAGGGGGGGGGGATATGCTGAATTTGAAGCTGCTTGTAAAGGACTTTCTCTGGAACAAAATGATAGTCCACCTCAATATGCTTGGTCCAATAATGAAAAACTGGGTTGGAGGCTAATGAAATAGAAGACACATCATCACACCAAAGTGTAGGAACAGTAGAAGAAGGCACACCTATTTCAGTGAGAAGCATTTTAATCCAAGTAGCCTCAGCTGCAGCCTGAGCTAGGGATCTATATTATGCTTCAATAGAAGATCTAGACACAGTTGGTTGTTTCTTTGGTTGCCAAGAAATGAGATTAGGACCAAGGAAAATACAGTAACTACAAATTGACCCCTTATCACTTTGATCTCCAGCCCAATTTGCATCTGCATATCAAAAACACCTGGATTGAAATTAAAACCATAAGAGGGAGTACCCTTAAGGAATTTGAGAATACCTTTTGACAACAGCAAAATCAGTCACAATAGAAGATTGCATATGTGTACATGCCATGTTAACAGCAACAAGAAGGTGTTGAAAGTGGAAGAAGGGTGTATACCGGTTGTGTAGATTATCAAAGAGAGGAATTACAATTGAATAAACACTCATTTTATTCAAACTCAAACAAATTATACAAAATAGAGCAACTCTCTGTATTCTCTCACAAACTCTCTTAGAAATCTCCCACTCATGGAGATGCTGTTGTTCTCCTACTCTGTCTCAAACAAACATACAACTTATCTATTTATAGATTTCACAAACGTGTGTAAACCGTGTGTGCTATAGTGTGTTTCCTATCCTAAGCTTCAACGGTCAACAATGGAGGCTTCACCGTCTCCATTCTTCTAGCTCTTCCTCTTCATTTTGGCTTCCCCTTATTCATTTTGGAACTCTCTAGCAACTTCATCTCTTTTTTGGAAATCACCATTTTCAAACTCAAATTGAGTTTGTTCTTCCAATATCCCTTTTCAAACTTAATTTGTTGGATTCTCTACACGGTATATCATATATGCTCGTGAATAAGCTCTTGTTTGGTCTTTGTAGTTAATCCTCTATTGACTTCTATCTCTGTCGGAACAACCTCATGTTGTTCGGTGCTGTCAACCTCTTGTTGATGTCTTCTCTCTTGCAGATCAACTGTTACGACCCAAACTCACCGCTATAGGTTTAGCATCATAACTGGACAGTACGCCTGGGATTACCCAAGGCCTCTAAACCATCTGTTATTTGTTGTGTGGTACAACCATCTGTTGTTCACTGTAGTCAACCACCTATTGGCTTATATCTCTCCAATGTCATAGAGCAACTACCTGTTGCTTGTCTAGTCCACGATATCTGGGACATCTTCTATCACTTTTCTATGATGTCTTCTTTGTTCTATTCTTCGACTCCTGTTTCGAAGAATATTGTTTCACTTCATATCTTCAAATAAAATATGTAAATTTTTGGTATAGAATTTGCACAATTTGATTGTACGGATTTATCCAGAATATTCCAAATAGTTGGAAATGACTTGGATTGTTGTGATTAGACTCTGGATGGCTTAGATTTAGCCAAAATAGATTGGACTGCTCAAATTATCAGTTGCACTTCAATAATGTCACACGGAATAATTTCTTCACTAGTTTTTTAGTTCGTCTTCTCCAGCGAAACAACTAGCTTTCTGATAAGGAACTAACTGCTGCTGCCTCTATTTCAGTACCAACTACTGCTGTAACTGTTGCTTCTCAAGAACAGAGCTTGCCTCAAGATCATGATCAAGCAAAGATGTGCAAGATAGTTCAGGCCCAAGGTGGTTATAACTGTCATGCAAGTGTTAAGCATTCAACTGAAGTTAGTTAGAGTTAACATTGTAACCTCTCTTAGTTAGTTAACCTGAGCATGGTTAACAATTGTAACAAACTCCTATAAAGAGCACAATTGTATTCTACAAAATCAATTCAAGAAATACATAAACTTTCTTTATGGTATCAGAGCTATAGTGGTTTCAATTATATGCCTGTGTTTCCTTTCCGCAACTCCATTTTGGGATGGAGTATAAGGACAACTTAGTTGATGATCAATACCATGATTCCTTAAAAAGGTTTGAAACTCATTACTTAGAAATTTAGATCCATTATCAATTCTTAAAATTTTGAGTTTCACATCAAATTGCTTCTCTACAAATTGTTTGAATGCAATGAATTTGTAGAAAACTTCGCTTTTATAATGCAATGGAAACAACCAAGTGAATATGCTAAAATCATCCACAAACAACGCATAATATCTGTAACCAGTAGGAGGAGAAGAAGCAGTGAAAGGACCCCATGCATCACTGTGAATAAGAGCAAGAGGTTGATTTACAAATATAGTAGAAAGACCGAATAGAAGTCTATGGCTCTTAGCAACACAATAGTGTTTACACAATTGAGAGGCCTTATTGGTAGGTTTAGCCAAATGAAATTTATTACAAAGTACTTTGAACTTGTGAGAGGATGGATGGCCCAACCAAGAATGCCAATCCATAGTAGAAGTAGTGGTAGTAACACAAGCTTTATGAGAAGAGAGGAGATGATGTGAAACAGGAAATTGATATAGGCCTTGAGAGTGAGATCCTTTGTGCAAGACAACTTTACTAGTCTTGTCCTGAATCACAAAACTATTATCATCAAATGTAACAGTGCAATTGTTATAAGAAATATGTTGATGAATGGAAATTAAATTTGAGGAGATTTGAGGAACTTGAGTAGATTAATAAGAGTGAAGGAATGAGAAGGTGTAGGGAGAATACCTTTACCTTTATGATGAATAGGAAGAAAATTACTATCACTAACCTACACTTGCTCATGGCCCTGATAAGGTTGATAGAGACTAAGATTCTGAAAATTGTTAGTAACATGACTGGTATCAGCAGAATCTAAAAACCAATTTTCTGAAGGATTTGCTATAGAGGCAACATAAGCTTTATTCTGAATTTCAGAATGAACATTGGAAGGCTTAGACTGAACAGGTTGATAAGACGAATCCATGTGGTACCAACAATTTAGAGCAGTATGTTCGCTCTTTCCACAAATCTGGAAAACTACAGTTCTAGATCCATGTCTACCTCCTCTACTTTTTTTTTTAAAGGATGATCGACTACCTCTATAAGAACTGCGATAGTTACCGCAATTATATCCTTGGGGACTAGATGATGAATTATGAGAAGCAGACTTAAAATAAGGTTGGGAAACAGATGATGTAACATAGGTGACATGAAGATCAAAGGAAGCTTTAGTAGCATTTTCAATGTGTATAGCCTCTAAACACAGAAGAGATGACATAATTTCCATGGAAACTGAGTCTGTTTTGGCATGACTTGTAGTTTTAAAAGCATTATATTTTGATGGAACTCCATTGAGAGTCAAGAGAACAAGGTCTTCATCATCAACTGCAGAGCCAGCAAGAGATAATTGATTTGTAATCACCTTAATCTGTAATAGGTAATCCTCCAACGAATTTGAAGCTTTGTCAATACTATGAAGCTTATTTTTAAGCTGGTGAATATGAGAACTTGAGAGAGAAGTAAACCGCTTCTCAAGTGTACTCCATACTTCACGACTGGTTTTACACTGACACATAGTGGTGAAGATCGAAGGAGAAAGAGTTGCTGTAACACAACTTAACATATGAGCATCTACGACCTGCCATTAAGTGAAATCTGGATTAACAACATCTACATTAGCAACATATTTCATGAAATCTGAAGGAGTAGCAACTGATTCATCAATGTAAAAAATCAAGCCTGCTGCTCGCAATATATTATGCCACTGATTCTTCCAAATTAAAAAATCATTGATATCTAGTTTGACAGTAACAAAGGAACTGAGATTTGAAATCACAAGTGAAAGATTTGAAGGAGGTTGAAAAGAAGAAGTTGAAGATGGCATAGAGGCCATGGAAGGATCTTTAAGCTCGTTGGAGTAGATGAAGCTTTGATACCATAAATTTCTTCTTTCTGCTGGTTTTGTCATCAGTTCTTCTGACTCTTCTCTTTTCATTCAGAAGACCGCTACTACTCTCACTATCCTGCTTATTTACATTGATGATATTCTCATTACTGGCACCAATTCGTCCCATATTGCTTCTCTTATTGCTCATATGCATTATGTTTTTTTCTATGAAATAATTAGGGGATATCAATTATTTCTTGGGTATTTTTGTTGTCAAGTCTGCTTTAGGATATTTCTTGTCTCAGTCCAAATATGCCCTTGAGATTCTTGGCAAAGCTGGTATGACTGGCTGTAAGCCTTGTGCTTCCCTTATGTCTGTTAAGCCCTCTTCTACTTCTTCCTCCTCTGTTGCTTTTTCCTAACCTTCTTTTTATCGGAGTATTGTTGGTGCTTTGCAGTATCTCACAATTACCTGGCTTGACATAGCCTTTGTTGTCAATCTCTGCCAATCTATGCAAACTCCTTTAGAGGCTGATTTCGCTACTGTTAAACATCTCTTACGCTACCTCAAAAGTATCTTAACTCAAGGGCTTCATTTCACTTCAGGTTCTCTTGACTTATATGCTTTTTCCGATTCTGATTAGGCTGGGAGTATTATTGATCATTGTTCTACTACGGTTTAGTGTCTTTCTT